CCAACTATTATACGCAATGGTAAAACTGACATAACTACACGGTTAGTCACAAACACCAACAAACAAAATGGAAGTTTTGGTTAGAAATAAATACTTTTTTTGCCATATATCTAATAATAAACAGATGTCATCATCTCTCCAGATGTCTTTTTTATTTCTCTGTTGGTAGCCGGACATGTGTTCCGCGGCTATCTTGTATTTTCTTGCGCATGTGGGATTGTGAGATCTCTCTTATGACTGGATCTAGTTTCAAGAACACTCTTGAGTCAATCATGATTGAACCTTGTTTCAGTCGAGATTTAAACAGTTGAGAGAGGGTGCACCATGGCATAGTCACTGACCTTGGTCACTTATAATGTAGATCGAAATGCTTGGTGGGAACGGGGTATAAGGTTGTGTGACTAGGTTTCTAGAAGTCCAGAATTGCCAGAAAACTGGCTAGTTTTGAATTTAGTAATCTTTACAGCTGTAGTTGCTGTGCAGCCTCTTTGTTCAGTTTCCATAATGTATGCATTGCCTAATGCATTCCAGTGTGACTAATGACATACAGTCTGTTAAATGCAATTTCTTTCTTTACTTTCCATTATTTAATATTTTAAGCATGTATTTAGTCTGTGTCCAAAAAACTGGAAAATCTAGAAATCTGGACCACTCCTGGTTCCAAGCTTGGTCTGGTACTGTATAGTCTTTGTTGGAATTAACCAGAGATTGAGAACTTTCAAGAATCAAATGAGTTCTTGAAAATCAGCAATGAATGTAATATACTGAAAAACAATGAGAATAAGGTAACAATGCTGCAGTTTGTCTTGCATGGAGTAGTTATGAACTAGTATGAAGTATTTGAGAACAAGTTGATTAATATTGTTGAAGGAGATTGAAGTTAATGATTAACTAGAGTATAAAAATTCCTTGAAGTGAGATCACAAAATAACTTGATTTCTGTATTAGCATAATATGATTAGAATTTCTGACAGTAGAGCAAAGACACTATAACCTGTTTTTCATAAAAGCTTAGTCACATCTGAGAATTTAGTATTTGAATATCTAGCACAAGTTTTCAGGAACAATAAGTTTTTAGAATCAAATAGTTCTGAATTCTTGTTTTCAAATACATTCGTTTTTAGACTTAATCACTTTGGATTAAATCTAGTAATAAATTTTTATGTAATGTATGTAAAGATCACTTGTAATAATCTTAGTTTAAAAAATAAAAACAAAAACACTAAAATTGTTATTTTAATTTTAAAGCATCTTTATATAATGTTCTCTATACAAGCAATGGGAATTATTGAGTTTACTTTAAAAATTTGTCCATAATATTACTTTTAAATATTCAGACACCTGTATTGGTTCCAGTAGATAGATTTAATGAAAAAAAACATCCAAAACAAACATTTTTGATCACTTTCAGAGTCTTCATCAGGTTAATGTATTGTTTCATCAGTTGAATGTTGTTTGAGCAGCTTTTTTTAAAAAACAGAACATTCTGTGCACCATGTGATGATATTCAAATTGAAAACAAATGTGATGTATATAACAGTGAAATGACAGAATTTTTTAAATATGTGCATAACTTTCCATAATACAGTATTTCTTTCTTCAATAAAAATCCAGGTTTTAAAACTTATATTATATATATACTTTAATATATTAACATGATGATCTAAAATATAAGTGCATCCCATAAACATAAAGGCAGATTTATATTAAGATACCACAAGTCAATATTAACCCAGCTGAAACTACTAGAAATGACTGTAGTTGGTTAGAGTTACTGATTTTTAACAATAGGCCAAGACAAACCCCTAACAGACAAAAAGATGAAATTCTTGCTCGTAGAGTTGAAAATTGTTCTGCAAGAACAATTGCTAAATAATTAAATCAGTCATCCATTGTAATCAACAACTTGATTAAACTTGGAGATCAATATGGTCAAAAGAAATCATGACACCCTTTAAAAGCTACAAATAGTGCAAAACTAATTATTGTTTGCTAGAATACCAGCAATAAAACATCATTTTGGAAGTTATCAGCAACACTCAAGTATAAGATTGACAAATCAATTATTGGAAGAGTATCTTGTATATAAGTCAAGAAAGCCTGCCCCATCACTAAGACCTGCTCATAAGGAGATATGTTTACTATGGACTAAGAAAAAATGAGCTGGATGGATGGACACTTGGAAACATCATATAGAGTGACAAGAAAAAATTCAACTTAGATGGTCCAGATGGTTGGAGCCATTAACGGCATGATTTGAGAAGGGAGAAAGAACTATATTCCAAATGACAATAAGCTGGTGGTTCAGTTATGGTTTGGGACAAATTTAGTTGGCAAGAAAAGATGCTACTTGCTTTTTTACAAAGGTGTACAAAAGCAAATAATTATTTATCATGACTGATTTATCAGGGTGAGCAATCTCTTGCCCTGTGCAGAATGTGTTGTTAGGAATCAACGGTTCTTTCAACAGGACAATGTTTTCATTCACACGACAATATATATGAATGGTATATACGAATGGTGTTTAGATAATGGGGTGCCTATCATTGATTGGCCAGCTCTATATCATCTTAATCCAATGGAAAATCTTTGGAGGATTCTGACTAGAACTGTATATGCAAATGGGCAATAATATAATAGTGTAGAGCAGGATTATTCAACCTTTTTTTCTAATGGGCCAAATTAGAAATTTACATATATTCAGAGGGCCAAAAAGTTATCTTGTTTAAATATATTCTTTTAAAAAGTTTAAAATGTGAATATCAAATTTTAATAACATACAGTCGACCCCCCCCCATAATGCGGTAGATATGCTCCACTTTATAAGAATTTCACGTTGTAGGAATCCTTAAATACATGAGCCAATCACAGCCCGGCACGTGTGCAGTTTATGGACTATGGCTGTTTGAAAGGTTTTCTTCCATAAAATTAATCGATTCTAGACTAATTTGACTCAACATTTCCAAAACACGTATAATTTTTTGGGAATCCGTATAAACTATGCTATAAACAAAAAATTGTAGGATTACTTACCGAGTGCACACCATTCGATGACACCGTTGCTTAAGCTTGTTTTTGTCGCAGAGCAGTGCACCGAACGGCAGGCGCATTTTCTGATAAGTTATTTTTCTGCGAAAAATTCACTGAACTTTGGAGACATTATTAATAAAAATAATTTTTATGGCTGTTGAATAAGAAATTTTTTTTTCACAAGAAATGTATAAAATTACAGTACTGTATTATTAGACTTACAGTTATATACTGTACAGATGATAGCAAATTCAACTTACTCACCTAAACTCCATAGTGTGTAAGTAGTTCGGCTGCTCGTCCACTATTGATCCAGATTCAACCAATCCTGTTGCGACACGAGTCGGCGATGGCGTTTTACTGCATTTTACGAGTCTCTTTTAGCGTCTTTATACGAATACAGTCGCAATTTTTTCGCCATGATATACGAACCTGCATTATAAGGGGGTCAACTGTATATATAATTACAAAAAATACTGTATTATTGACAGTAAAAAAAATAAATTATACTCACACAAAATACAAATAAATTTAATGTGATTTTTTACATTGCTTTTTTTTATAATGCCAATATCTGCTTTTATGGTACTAGTCTTAATTCTAAGAATGTTAGTTAAATGGGAATTACTCAACCTATTTTTATCAGCAGTTTTCATGTTTTTCATGCACGAAAAAAATTGCTCACAACAGTATGTACTATCCCACATGCATAACAATTTTCTAAAATAAATGAAAATATACCTAAAAAGTTTAGGGTGCAGTGTGGGCTGTGGGTTGGACATCCATGGTGTAGAGGAACTAAAACCATAATTTGTCACTGGGAGGAAATAAGTGCATCTGTTTTCCAAAAATTCATTCAGTGAATACTCAGCTGCATCTACAAAGTTACTTTAGCCAAAGGAAGCTTCATTGGATATTAGGTTATTGTTAAATACAATTTATTAACATGCCAGTAATTGTTTCAGTTAACTTTGTTATATGTCTATATTTTTAAGACAGTCAAATTGATTGTAATTTTTCAAAATTAGTGTTTGTTTTTTGTCTCAATAAATGGTTATCATTTTTTCATGTGCATTTGTGAAAATTTAAGCAAGCCAAAACAAATAATTTTTGCAACATTTTTAGTGTGAATGTTTTTATATGGAAATCTGTTAATGCCTATGTGTTTATGGGACACACGTTAGGTTGTATCAGCAAAACTTCACTGTGGATATTTAATTGAAAAAGTATTTGACATTTAATATTTGATTGTCAAGTTATTACTTTAACTTGACAATTTTTAAAATTATATATACCATATTTTACGGACTATAAGATGGATTTTTTTTTTTTTTTTGAAAAATTGCATCCAAAATTCAGGTGCATCTTATACTCAAAATTAATATAAAAATGTCCAGTGTTTGATTTAAAATTACTGCGTCTTAAAAATGGCCATATATTTGATGCCGTGGGAAACTTATCTCTATCTGGCAACATTGAATTCAACTGGCAGCAGCAGTGCACTGATGCGACGAACATGAGTTGTGGGGTATCAGGATTGAATCGTCTGGATGTACAATTTCCGTGCTTTTTCTCTTTTCAAACGAGCAGTGGTTGTTGCCATAGAAATGCGGATCATGAGATGACCGATGGTTCTGAATCCACAACCATGGATTGGCCAGCAACCATCATTCGATAGCACTACTAAGCGTTGATTGGTGGATCAGTGTTTGCTTCAATCTGTATAAAAGGATTGAATTTAGGCGGTAAAAATGTTATTTTTTAAAAAAATTGCTTAAAAATTAAAGTGCATCTTATAGTCGTAAAATACGTTATATAAAATAAACATAAAAAATTATAAATCTTCAAGTATTTCAGTGCTTCATATTTTTAAAAAAATATATTGTAATGCATAATCTAATGTATAAAATTTTATTATAAAATAAATGAAATGCTTATTTCAGTTTACTACAGTAGTATTAAATTTTCAGATGCCATCTGTTAGTGTGAAAGACGTTGATCAACATCAATTTGTTCAACACCTTGCAGCATTCTTGAAAAAGTAAGTATCAATTTTTATTAACTTGTTCATGTGCAATAATGGTAACTTTCTGCACCTAGTACTTTTTATGGACATTTTTCACCTTGCTTAGCTATGCTTCCATATCTTCCTGCTATCCATCTGTAAAAAATTCAGTCAAAAAATTTTTCGTATTTATCATAAGCCTTCCAAAACTGCTGTAGAAATTTTCTGTCTTACATATACAATTATGTACAAATTTTTTTGCACAATTGCATGTGTATGCAGCAATTTTCCACTGTTATCATTTTTAGTGACCTGACATCAAAATCTATGCCATGGAGATTGCTTGCAATTACTAAAAGATTCATGTCATGGATTAAAAGATACCTCAAAACTTGATGAGATTACAATAAAAGCAGCAACTATTACCTGTAAGCCAGTTAAAATGAGCAAATTTATTATAAGAACAAACATTTTCAATTGTTTTTTAACAGCCATCTTCATGTTATGGAATGTTACATAGTATAAAATTCCAGAAAACAAGATTTAAATAAAATAGAACTTGTTAAACATGTGCTGGTGGTTGAATGCATAAAAGAATGTTGAAGAAAAATAAGATTATAAATGTTCATAAATAGCCTTCCATGCATGCAATACTACAAAAGTGTTCTTAAAATTAACAGTGAAATCTTTTAGTCACTTTGTAAATTTCAAGATTTTTGATATACTTGAGTTGTGCAGGAACAGATGTGCTATATAAGAAGCATGCATTATCAAAGGTGCACTGTTGTGCACTGTTTGGACTGTTGTGCCCAAACCCTTCTGAACAGTGTAGTGATGTTCCTTTAATAATAATCAATGGTCTGCAGGTAGCTCCAATATACTCATAGTGCCAATTTATCCTGTTATCAAAAATAGGAATTGTGTAAACTCCAGGCAGTGAAAATTATATATTTTACTAGAACAAAATTTTACTGTAAAGGACATGTATTTTAGCAAATTTCATAGTTACACTATGTTGAAATTTTACTGTACTATTACAAAATAAAAACTATCCAAATAAAATATTTTAAACTTGATAAATGTAAATATGATTTAGAAATGAAGTTATATTTGATCTAAAGAAAGTACTGTATTTTTACAGTAGAATGTATGTATTATTTCAGTATATATTTATACTTTGTAAAACTAGTAATTAGGATTAAAATTGAGATTTTATATATCTTCATTACTAGAAAACTAAGTTTTGTATCTTAATAGATCAAAAATTAAAAAAACTTTTGATATTTGATTTGTGCATTAAATATAGTTTTTTTTACAATGTAATAGATGGATTATTTATTAATACTGACTAAAAATTTTATAATTATAAAGATCAGGAAAGCTAAAAGTTCCAGAATGGGTTGATGTAGTAAAAACTGGAATACATAAAGAACTTGCTCCTTATGATGATGATTGGTTTTATACAAGATGTGGTAAGTATTTTTTATAATAAATTTTCATTGAAAAATTATCTGCTATTAACTTGAAACTGTTTTATAAATCCAAATTATAATTTTCTGTTTTTGTTAAAATTATGTTGGAAATTTAATTCTTATATGGTAGTTGTAAATTTTAAGAATCTGTTGATACATTATTTGAACTAATCATTTATATAATTATATCACTTTTAATATTAACAAAAATTCAAACTTAGTGCTTCTGTTAAACAGTAAAATATTTTAAAAATGGGCTTTAGTGTTAATTACTTAAATGCTACATGAATTACTATTTTTCTGATTGTGAACATTGAAGCAACAATATACTGTCCTGTTGTAATGAAATGAAGCACAAATGCATAGGATGCAAGTAACTTTCTTGATTATGAATTTATTATTCAAACTCAAAAGTACTTCAGATAAGAAAATAGGCAAAAACCCATCTCAAACATTATCTTGAACCAATAATTCAGGCTGTTTAACTCTGTCAAAATATCTAATATTCAATTTCAATTATATACTAAGTAACTGGTTCTGCTTATTAAATTCTTTATTGTATTAAATTTAAGTTATATTGTTAATTATTCAAATGTAAGTTTGAAAACTTAAATTTATAATTTACATTAACAATAATGAGTGATTTATTTTTAATATAAAGTACATTTTTTCATGTAGAAATGAGTAAACTTAATATCAATGATTTTTAAAAAAAAATGTTTAATGCACTTTTTATTATTGAAGTTTTAATTGATTTAAATTTTCTAATGCAAGATTGAGACTTTTGTCTTTATGTGTGATTAAAGCAGCAATTTCCAACTTGTGTTCTGCAGATAAAATTTGGAATTCCATAATAAAGTTAGTTTTGCAATAAATTAATCATTTAAAATATGTATGAAAAATTTATTTAAATGTCAAAAATTAATAATAATCCATTGGAAAAGAGGACCTGTGCATAGACTACATGTCTCGCATTTGTGGAAAATAAAATCCATTAATTACAATAATAGGAGAATTGAATCATATAGTTGATTCTTTCCTGTGTATTTGATTTTTTGTATTAAAAACTAAAGTCTCTCTTCTTGTTGGTGAAACTGTTAGCCAGGTGGTGACAATAATTGAATATTTGTATGCATTTAGTGATTTGCAAATATTCAAATATAGTCAATTATTTCATTAGTTGAGCTCCCATTTTGTCTTCTGACAAAATCATCTGAAAAAATTAATTCTTTGCATTAATTACTAGTTTAAATTAATATTTGCCTTTCCATTATTATTCTGATTTTTGTATGTTAAATAACTACAATAGAGCATTGATTATCCGACCCTCAATCAACCATCACATCAGTTAACCGACCTTTCTAGTTGGCAATTTTCAAATGTCCACTAGTGGTGTGGTACTACAATATTTGGCTATGTCTTGGCTACTTTAATATTATTTTCGTTAAATTTTTGCATGTTTTAGCTGGCAACACTGGCTCAACCATGAAAGGGAGACCAGTGTTTAAATGAGGCTTAATTTTCTAATTATGAGTGGTGGTTTGTTTTGTGAGCAATAAAATAATTTAAAATAATTTTTAATGATACAATAACAACGATTATTATTTTAAAAAAAATTTTTTTTCAGTTATCTGATTATCCCCAGTTTCCAATGAGTTGGATAATCGATGCTCTACTGTACTATTAAATTTTTTGTTTTATTTATAATCAATAAAAATTGTCAGATTTCAAAACTTTTTATCAAAGGTGGTAAGGATTCTGCAATTAAAATAAGTTGAGAATCACTGGACTAAAGAAATACTTTCATATAACAATAATATATTGCATCACTAAATGAACAAAATAAGAACAAAATTGTGTATTTGTGACCTATTTTGCTTTAGAATTAAAACTGCTAAATTTATTTGTTTTTTAAATATAATTTTTTTCTAAATCTTTTTTATGAAATTATTTTTAATGCAAAAATTAATCTCTTTTATAAAATGTAGCTTCTGTTGCTCGACACTTGTACATGAGATCACCTGCAGGAGTTGGTGCATTCACAAAAATTTATGGTGGTCGTCATCGTAGAGGTGTTCGTCCATCACATTTCTGCCCAAGTTCATCAAGCATTGCTCGTAAAGCTCTTCAAGCTTTAGAACTATTAAAATTGGTTGAAAAGGATAGCAATGGGTATGTTTTATCAATAATTAAAATAATCAGCACATTAATCAAAATACATGAGCATGTTTCAATTTTAAATTTGTATAAACCTAAAAATTTTCAAAAATGTTATCAATAAATTAACGGAAATCAGTTAATTTATTGATAATATGTAAAGGTTTTAAGAATTTTGTTATGGTTTTTAGTACAGTAAACACTCAATTTAACAGACCCCAATTTAATGGACAAACATTTTTGCTGTACGGAAAATTTAAAATTATTATTTGCAAATATTGATTCAACTTTTTGGTGTGCTCTGAGTCAATCAGTATAAATTTCTCCATGTATATTAGTATTTTATTCATACTTATACATTATAATAGGATATTTTAACACATCTGAAACCTTTTAAGTTCATTATTAATTTATAATTACAGACACTATTTTTAACTTGCATAAGATACTGATGTTTCATGCATAATTGCCATTCCTCACATTTGACAATTCTAAAACTTTTGTAATGTGTCTTTTCTGTATATGCCAAATTTCAACATATATTGTTTTGTTTACAGAACATTGTCTGGGGGCTCCCTTCAAACTTTGTGATAGGGCTAATGTGAAATGAGTTCAATTGGAACTAAATGAAGGAGGGTTTGAGATGTTTTTCAGAAGAATCAGAAAATTTTTCAGTATTTTTGGCATAAAAAGCCATGAAAACATTTAAATTGTTGAAGGTCATGATGCCCAAGCTATCTTGGAGATAAGCATTTAAGGTTGGACTGACATTACATTATGAATAGCTGATAGACATCCATGATATTATGACTGCCTGTTTTGACAATCATGAGAGACCTTATGATGTCAAAGTGGAAAATCATCATATATGCATGCAGTTGTATGAAAAAACTGTATGTGATGGCATATGCAAGGCAGTAAATTTCTGCAGTGGTTTTTTTGATAGTGATATGCAGAAAAAATATTTTTGTCTGATGTTTGTACACAATTAGGTGGATAGCATTTAGCATGAGGATATGGAATCACAGCTAAATAAGTCAATTGGATGAAAAATGTTTATGAAAAACTAGTAGGTGTACAAAATTGTCACTATTTCATGTGGTCAATTGTTAATCTTATAATATAATCTTGATGAGATGATGATGATAGCCCAAATGGTTAGGAGCTGAAATATGGTACATCATGAGAATATACACTAAGAAGGAATATTTGGATTGTTTGCCTTGGGAGGAGAGGGTTAAGGATTACCCTGAAGAACTACTTCTACTGTATTATTTTAGATGTGGTTTTTTGCATTTTTGCAGGAAATCAAACATATTTTTAGACCCATCTAAAAATTCTCTAATTAGGTCCCCCCTCTTCTGAGACTAATTCCTGCACCCAGTAAAAATGAGTAGATTGGCTATAATCTTAATCTTTGCTATTGTTACTTTTGCCCAAGCAATGCTGGTCTCATCTGCTACTATATATTAACATATTAACTGTATATATATTTATAATACATAATCCCCAATCAGTCCATTAAATTGAGGGTCTACTGTATATTTAAATTTATTGATAATTTCATAAGTTATATCAAGTTAATATATTATGTAGAATTTTGGAACACTAATAGAATGTTTACTTTGATCAATTTAACCTATCTGATGTTGAAATTTTTCTCCATTGCTTGTTGCACCATATTAAATTTTTTTATGAAAATAAACCTAATGAAAATTACATGCTTTTGTAAAAAAAAGTCATGGCTATTGTATCATCCGAAATTATTTTTTTATTTTGCATAAACAAAATAAATATATTAATAAATAAAAAACAAAAAAATTATATTTCGGAAGTTAGTTTTAATATAAAAATTATAACAACTAGCGGCATCTAGTTTCAAAAATGTTCCAATGCTGAAACGAGATATCTTGGGTCAACCAGTCAAGGTCAGCAGGTTGCGACCCGAGATATGCCAGGATTAACACTGGACAGGTTAATATACACTGAATTCCTGTATAACGCAATGGAAATTTTGCGACTAGAACTCATACAGCATGATAAACAGCCCTGTACAATGCATGAGATAAATTTAATGTTTTCACAGTTTCAGATTTTTTGTTTAGAAAAGCAAAAATATACACTTACCAGTATATATAAACAGTAAAGCCAACAGTTTAAAAAAAAAATTTTCGTTGGCATTAGAGTGAGGTGTTAGGTGCCATCTTGTATACAAGATGGCCTAATGCCTCACTCTAGTGCCAAATTCATTTCTGATTTATAATCATTATATCCAAATTTATCCCAATCATTTACGGCAGTTGTGGGTGTATATTTCTATAATTTGAATATAATTTTATAAAGATACTCTAGCTATTATTACGATTCCTATAAAACTACGAAAAAATATACGTATTTTGGAAATGTTGAGTCGGATTAGTGTAGAATCGATTAATTTTATGGAAGAAAACCTTTCAATCAGCCGTAGTCCGTAAACTTGACACGTGTCGGGCTGTGATTGGAACGACTTGTAAGAAATTGGATTTCTAATAAATTGGAACGTATCTATATCTTATAGGGGGTCGACTGTATTCCAATATTTGCTTCCAGGGCTTGTTTCACATATGACTAGTTAGGTTTTTTAGGCAAAATTTAAGATAGTTTCTCATTAGTAAAATTCAGATATAACTTTGACAGTATGATACAAGAAAAAACTAAACAAAAATCATCATATGGCTTATTTTTCACAAAAATTATTTTTACAATTTGATTTCAAAGCTATAATGCAAATAAAACATTAATTATACTAGTTCTTCATAAATGTTTATAACAGTATTATCGTTGCTCTAAGATATTTCAAGAATTTGATTAATGAGTCTGATTAATCTTGTACTAACAATAATCAATTTCTTAATGTTGCTATTGATACATAAGATTAAAATTGGAAAACTAAAAATAACTGAATAAAAGCATTTTTTATGTAAATTCTTATTTTTGTAGTTTTGCCTATTAAATATCATGCATTTTAATAAATTTTGAAGAAAAATATGATTAATTTGGTCATTTATAAAAGATAAGGAATTATAGCAATTTTAATCTTGTTGATTTGTAATATATATGAAACATTAAGATAAAATATCTAAATTTTGAACAGTAAAGTTAAAAATATAATGTTGCAATGTAATTCATAATTATATAACAGATAATAAATTATTATTACTTTTTATCTCTCATTTTTTTCAGTGGAAGGAAACTCACAAGCCAGGGAAGAAGAGATTTGGATCGAATTGCATCTCAAATTAAAGGAAAAACACAAGCATAATTTGTAATGTGAAATATTTGAATAAACTTGTTTACAGAGGAATTTTGTTTGCTTTTTTTTCATAATTTAGGAAATTTTATCAATTTAACTTTCACTGTTGCTATTGAAAAAAAAAAATTGCTCTGAATATGCCAATTTGTTTTTTTCACAAAGTATGTCACTATTATATGCAAATTAAGAATAAAAAAATGCTTATTTTGAGCAATCATGACAGAATTTGAAATTGAGTCATTATCACCTAAGGACATACATATTTAATCATAATGATTTTTCATCATTTATGTTGATGTAGTTGAATAAGCAATGTCAAAACAATTAGATTCTTTTGTTGTGCATGTTTTGGTTTCCCATTATTTTTGTAACATTTTTAAAATCTCTTGAAATATGTTTAACATTTCTAATGCTTGAGAATCTTGAATGTAAGGAAATACATATGGTCAATACTATTTTTCTCTGCACGCTCTTATTCAGCTGGTGAAATATTGGATGATTTAACTAAACTATAAAAAAATTTTTGATATTTTGAATTACTTTCATTTGAACGGTTCAAGTGTAAAATAAGATAAGTAATATTTTCATTGATGCATTATGTGCTAACAGCTAAACTGCAATGTGCTCGTGTTTAATTATTATATGTACTTTTATTTTCCCAGTTCTAACATGAGGATGTATTGTAATCGTGTCAAATTGACCCTCCAGGTTTTTGCAAATCTCAGTGTAAAATATCTGGAGACCCTGAACCCAAAAAATTCAAAATACAGGAAAAAGTATGTTGGGGTGCATACACTTCTGGAATCAAACTGATCCAAGATTATTTTGATCATTCAAATTGTGTACAAGTGACTAGCGATCTTATCAATCTCTGCATACGCAAACACCATCAAGAATCAACTTCATTGCAATCAAACTAATTGAGTGGAAGATAGGATAGTTGATATCAGATAAGAAAGATTGAAGATGACAACCTCCATGGTTAGTCATGCTTTAGTTGACAGCAAAGGAATATGTGTAATTGCTAACAATGAAAGCATCATTACCAAAATATCTGATAAACTGAGATGAAAAATAAGAGAATTTTGAGATTATGGCAAGAATTCATGGTGTATACATTCTTATTTTGCTGTTTTGTGAACAATTTTATTTGGAGTAAATAAGATTTGATTCTACTTGTATACTTTCCCCCAGCTAACATGACAGTGTGACCAATATGTAAGATTGATCCATCTGAAATGCAAAGTATATGCACCTTTGGTGTCTATTTTTTTGATATCTCAGGATAGAGTAAAGATTAAACAAAGTTTGACATGATAACTTGTGTATAAGGAATATTGATAAATTTTGAAGTATGGAACTGAATAGTCATGGATCATAGCTTGGCTGGGTAAGACACTGCAAATTTTGCTCATATGAATTCTCTTGAAATATGATTCTTATAAATTTCCAAATGGACCCCAATTAAAGAAGAAAAACACCAATGAGATGTATAATTTTTTTCACAAAGCCAGGAAACTTATGCAACTTGTTGCTGGAGTTTTTACTATAGTGAACTTTATGCTGATAGTTTTCTGCTTTGTTTACTTTTTTAGAGTTTCGTAAGAGGGCATGTTGTGGCTATTACACTGTATATGCCAATATTCATATCCTCCAATATTTTATTCTTTGAAAATATAACAGGGAATTAATCTTAGAACTTTTTATTGAACAAATATGGTTATAAATTCTTGTCATCTAATTAATAAGCAACTTTGATTAGAGATAGGCAGCATTTTGTGTTAAATTTAAATCTTGTTTTACTAAATAACAATGCTTTATATCATACAACTAAATAAATACACAGTAATTAAACAATAATTTATTAACAAATTACATATGAAACTTAAATGACTACAAAAAACATAAGTTATTGATTATAAATAAATAGTATTTTCATAACACTTGAGAGGAAAATGTCAACTTATTGAATTGATAAAAATTTTTGATGTACACATTCACAAATATTGCTGATGATATTAAACATGAGAAAAGTCAATAATGTTTTTAAAAAAATTGCTTAAAAATTAAAGTGCATCTTATAGTCGTAAAATACGTTATATAAAATAAACATAAAAAATTATAAATCTTCAAGTATTTCAGTGCTTCATATTTTTAAAAAAAATATATTGTAATGCATAATCTAATGTATAAAATTTTATTATAAAATAAATGAAATGCTTATTTCAGTTTACTACAGTAGTATTAAATTTTCAGATGCCATCTGTTAGTGTGAAAGACGTTGATCAACATCAATTTGTTCAACACCTTGCAGCATTCTTGAAAAAGTAAGTATCAATTTTTATTAACTTGTTCATGTGCAATAATGGTAACTTTCTGCACCTAGTACTTTTTATGGACATTTTTCACCTTGCTTAGCTATGCTTCCATATCTTCCTGCTATCCATCTGTAAAAAATTCAGTCAAAAAAATTTTTCGTATTTATCATAAGCCTTCCAAAACTGCTGTAGAAATTTTCTGTCTTACATATACAATTATGTACAAATTTTTTTGCACAATTGCATGTGTATGCAGCAATTTTCCACTGTTATCATTTTTAGTGACCTGACATCAAAATCTATGCCATGGAGATTGCTTGCAATTACTAAAAGATTCATGTCATGGATTAAAAGATACCTCAAAACTTGATGAGATTACAATAAAAGCAGCAACTATTACCTGTAAGCCAGTTAAAATGAGCAAATTTATTATAAGAACAAACATTTTCAATTGTTTTTTAACAGCCATCTTCATGTTATGGAATGTTACATAGTATAAAATTCCAGAAAACAAGATTTAAATAAANAAAGAAAAAAAAAAATATTTTTGTTAAAACCTTACAATAGGATAGATTTTTGTATTGTTGAAAAAAGCAAACACCAAAAGTTGTAACAATTTTGTGATATCTTGTAATAATTAAGTAAAAAAAATTATATGAATATATAAGAGTTGATTATACTAAACAAGAGTTCCATTTAGCATTTATGCACTTTCAAACTTTCACGTTGTTCAAACTTGCTCTCTAGAGGCAAATTTTGCTTGGGGGCTGCGCAGCCCCCACCATACCAGTTATGATTGTAAAATTTACAAAACCAGTTAAGGGTTAGTTTTAAATGTATACCCTCAATTTTGTATTTGATAATTGAAATTGATTCAACAAACAGTGTAACTATAATTTTGGGGGCCTCACCAATCTAAGAAGAATGAATAGTTTTTTCTGTAGTATTTTTTTATTTTACATGAAAAAACTAAAATAATTATAATTTTGCAGTGCAATTGAAGTTGAAAAAAATTGTTTCATATTTGAGTTTGATTTTATAGTTATGCTTTATATATTTGTATATAAGTTATTTTATCAGTTATTCTATTAAGCGTAGGTTAAATGACATTCTCTGAAAAACTAATAATTTCCCAAAATAAGGTGGAAACAGTTTGAGCTAACTAATAATAAAGGTGCCAGAATATCAAAATTCAACTAGACCAGTAATTATCACACCGAAGAAACACTAAAAAATGTTTTTATATTTTTGTCAGATTATAGAACCTAAGATGCAAAAAAAGGATGAAAATATGACATTTATTTTTAGTGTATATATGTGATAACTATAAAAAATATATTGGGATAACATTTATATTTTTAGACCAATAAATACCAGATTAAAAATTAATCTAGATCATTTTGGTTCTTGAACTGTTACATTTTTTTATAGCTACTATAGAAAAATGTCTGTTTTATATTACTTTACATATAACTAAATTAATTTCAACTTACTAAATGTTTTTTATGCTGTAGCTCTCCTAAAGAGGAAAGAAAATTTTGTACATAAAGAATATTGAAAAGATGAAGTAACCTCCTAATGATGTGACTATAATTTGAGGTATTTGCAAAAAGTTTTAGGTTGAATAGTCAACAAAATTAATATTAAGGTATAACTTCTAAGAAATTGTTTTACATAAAACTATATGTCAATAGAAGTAGAACAGGTAATTCTTTTATAATAGTTTCTGCAGTTAGTATCTTTTATTTTAATGAAAATGATATATATTTAACAGCTGCATAAAAAAAATTATATGTTAAATCCTTAGAATAATACTTTTAAAAATAGTTGCCAATTTTATTAAATCATAGGTTGACAAATTAAATTTGTTTGCAACTCAAAATCTGTTAAGTAGTTGGAAAATTTGTTCACATGCCTAAAAATCTTTAAATTTATATATTTACAACATTTACAGTCTTATAAAATATGTTTTACTTTAAGAAACTGTTCAGCATTATGAAGTGATAGGATATAACCTAAAGCCAAATGCCATTTTGAAAAGCAATGTAGGTTATTTTACAGAAAAATTCTGAGATCTCCCATTTTCAATATACAGGAAGAGCTTTGTTCCAATGATTTTAAAGACAACCTAAAATCTTTAAATGCAATCTAACAGTCAGTAGCATAAATTATAATTTTGATACCTTGCAAAATTTTAAGTCATCAATCAAGAAAAACTTGAAAAATTGCAAATTTTTAAGCCACTCTTCTTTAGCCTTTCTACACTCTCTTTTATAGATCTTGTTAAATTTTTATATCCTGGTTTATTTTTCAAACTTTTCCTATTCTCCTTCGTATTTAGAATTTTATCAGTCGTCCAAGGTTTGTCAATTTTCCTAATGTATTCTGGAATGTTATTAGCAGCAGCTCTTCTTATATTAATACATTCCTTAAAGGCATTTCATGCTTCATTGATATCCTCTATTGATTGATTATATTCTTTATTAATTTTATTGTTATTGATTTCCCTAATAAATTTGTCATTAAATTTTACTTTTATGTTCTNTTAAGCCACTCTTCTTTAGCCTTTCTACACTCTCTTTTATAGATCTTGTTAAATTTTTATATCCTGGTTTATTTTTCAAACTTTTCCTATTCTCCTTCGTATTTAGAATTTTATCAGTCGTCCAAGGTTTGTCAATTTTCCTAATGTATTCTGGAATGTTATTAGCAGCAGCTCTTCTTATATTAATA